TGCTATTTATAAGACTGAGCTGAATACAGCACCTCAGACTGAGGAAGTCTTTCGGATGAAAGATGAAACATTTCTACAAGTTTTTTGTTGTTTTGCTTTGTTTTGTTTTTTTGAATGTCCAGAGGACCAGATTTAACTTTTTTTAGATGTAGTCTTTCACTTTCTCTGCATGGCAGTAATTTGTCCTCCAGCTCTAAAGTTAAAATCCTTGTTTGTTTTTTTGTTGTTGTTTTTTTTAAAATCAGGATATGTCTTTTAACCCCCACATTAAAAATGTTACCAAAACCGTTTTCCTCCACCTACGTAATATCACTAAGATTAGAAAGATCTTGTCCAAAAATGATGCAGAAAAACTGGTTCATGCTTTTATCACATCTGCTGTAACTTGAACTATTGCAATGGTTAATTATCTGGATGTCCAAATACTTCTTTAAAAAGTCTTCAGCTGATCCAAAATGCTGCTACCAGAGTCTTAATGAGAGACGATAGTAGAGATCATATCTCTCCAGTTTTAGCTTCTCTCCATTGGCTCCCTGTCAAATTCAGAATTTCATTCAAAATCTTACTTCTAACCCACAAAGCTCTCAACAACCTAGCTCCATCTTATATTACAGATTTTATTGTTCCTTATTTTCCTAACAGAGCACTTCATTCTCAGACTTCAGATTTACTTATGGTTCCTAGAGTTTCCAAAAGTAGAATGGGAGGCAGCGCTTTCAGTTATCAGGCTCCTCTCTTCTGGGACCAACTTCCAGTTTCTGTCCATGAGGCTGACACATTGTCTACTTTTAAATTAGGCTTAAGTCTTTTTAGTCTTTTTGCTAAATCCTATAGTTAGGATTTGGCTTGAGTTTCCTGAGCCATCCCTTAGTTATGCTGCTATAGGCTTAGACTGTTGAACAAATTGACCACATTTACTTACTCTGCTCAAACTGTTTTGTATTTGTACTTTTTTCTATCCCTGACATGTGTTTTTTGTCTTTCTTCCAAAAGGAGGTACACCTGCACCTACATCTGGACCTACCATTCTGTGTTCGTCTGTCTCTCCTTCCTGTCCTCTCAAACCAGCCGGTCAAAGCAGATGGCCGCTTGTCCTGAGCCTGGTTCTGCTGGAGGTTTTTTCCTTTTAAAAGGGAGTTTTTCCTTTCCACTGTTGCCACTGTTCTTGCTCAGGATGGGAGATTGTGATGAAGTGAAGGTTCAACGAGTCTGCTGGCTTCCTTAGATAGAGAACTTTACTAATTGGCTTTTCTATGTATGTGAATGTTTTTGTACGGTGCCCTGAAACAACTTCTGTTGTGATTTGGCGCTATATAAACAAACTGAATTGAATTAAATTAAAATGTTTCCTTCTTGCTCTCTGTGAAGGCGGACACTTTGTCTTCCCGCTCCTTCCCCTGCTTCTGCTCTTTGTCCTGTGAACCTTTTGGAGCCTCTCTTGAACATCTTCTGAATTGTAGATTATGGATCTGGACAGCTGTTTTATCAATGCAATTGATCAAATTTTCTCGACATTAAGACTGGGCAAAGGAGAGCTCTCCTGCCCCGTCAGGACACTTGCAGCCGGATACACGATGGGGGGCAGTGGAAGGTCGTGTGTCTGTCCATATTGTCGGTCAAGGATGTTGAAGATGCGTACATTATTGGATTTATAATAAGAGGATTTTTGATTTTTGCAGTGGTTGCCTGGCATATCGACGAATTTGATAAACGGCAGCAGCTGTTCTGGAAATTGTGAAACTGCCTGGCTGTGTGAGGGAATGTGCTGTGATATAAACACTCAGACTCAAATGCTGTGTGAGATGAGCTGTAAGTTGGACGTGATCCTTGCTGAGAATCGCAGGCTACTTGTGGCTCCTGAATCTCTCTGGCGGGAAGGAATTGACATTGGAGAGGTTACAAGCTCGGCTTGGCGGTACTGACCATAAAATTAGGCTATTTGGAGTCACCTTTGAGACGTACCATTGAGACTATAAGGCAGACAGGAAATTAACGGAGTTGGCCTGACCCAAAATATTTGTTATCTGAATCTGGCTTCCCCATGTCGGCCTTGGAAAGCTGACTATCTCAAATTCTCCTGGATGTTATGTGAAGTATTTGGACTAACATCTTACCTCTCCATCAATCTGAGTTTTGGAAACAACACAGCACAACTACTGCTTCACTGAAGGTTTTTAATGACGTTTTTGAAGAACTGAAGGATTATTGTCCTGCTCTTTACTTAGACCTGTCTAAAGCTTTTGACACTGTGGACCATGACTTCTTATGTCATAAGCTCTCAGAAATTGGTTTTTCAGAACACACCGTTTCAGACCAGAGGCAATGTGTTCAACATAATGGTACTTCCCAACATTTTTCAGTCAGGTCATCTGGACAGTTTCTTTTTTTTTTTT